CTGTCGCACATACTTCTGAAGATACCACCCCGATCCCAAAGAACCAACGGGGCATCCAGCTCAACTATCTCCCCCTTATCCATAACACACACACAATTATACTGAATGACGGTGCGGAGTCGGTGCGCGATTGCGATCAAGGTCTTGCCTTCTAGCCCCGTCGCCAGTGTCTCCTGGATACGCGCATCGGTTTCGGGGTCGACGCTGCTCGTGCCCTCGTCAACAAGCACAATTTTGGTGTCTCGCAGTAGGGCTCGCGCAAATGCAATGAGTTGGCGCTGCCCGAGCGAGAAGTTGAGGCCTTCAGCGTCAACCTGTGCATCAAGTGTCACACGCATCTCAGGTGCCTCATCGGGCCCGCTGCCACTGTCCTGAGCTTCTTTGGCATCGCCTTCCGGGTCATCCTTTTCATGTTTGACCGCAGAAGTATCCGGGTTCAAATGTGCTTGGCGCAGAGCATCCCATAGTTCCAAATCCGTGTGTTTGTTGAAAGGGTCGATGTTGGAGCGAATGGTTCCTTGGAAAAGTGTTGGGTCCTGTGGAATGATGGCCAAGGAAGATCGAAGACGATGAAGTCCGATTTTGCTGATATCAACCCCGTCAATCGTGATGCTACCGCCTGAGATCTCAGTGAGTCTGAAGAGCGTCGATAGTATAGTACTCTTTCCAGCGCCGGTACGGCCAACTATGCCTATTTTCTCCCCGCCAGAGATTTGCAGAGAGAAACCATCTATCACCAGAGGCAAGTCTTCGCGGTAGCGCATTTTGACAGCCTCATATTGAATTGCCCCATGCTCCGGCCACGTAGGGCGAACTGGCGCACCCTCAAGGGGAGCCTCTTGGTCAAGCGAGTTCGTGTATTTGTATAGACGCTCCATGTTCGACATTGAATTGTTGATTTCAATGAGATACTTGACCACCGTCTGCATCGTGCCCACCATTGCCATGCTGTAAGTTAGCAACAGACCGGAAATGCTGGGCGAGACGGGCAGTGAGTTCGTGACCACAAGGATCCCCGTGACAAAGCTCAGCAGAGTGCCAATAAAGTCCATACGAACGGACAGCCAGTTGTGGGTGGCAAAAGTCAAATAGTACGCACTGTCCATGTCATCGATGGAGTCGTGTACCACCTTGACAAACTGTTGCTCCCGACCATACGCACGAATGCACGCTGCACCGATAAGAGCTTCATTGAACCGAGCAAAAGCCACGCCGTCCAACGTCAAGTGATGGCGCCTGAGCTCGCGTGCAGTACTCCTGTAATATGAGATGCACCACCAGAGCATAACGGCTCCTAAGACCAATGCGATGACAAACTGTTGTTCGTGAGCTTAAGTACATTGAAACCGTTGCGGCGACATAGATAGAGGGACTTACGTAGTAGAAGTAAACGACAATGAGGACATAGGAGCCTAAGAGAGCGGCACCGTTAATCAGCAACTGCTGAACGGCAACAACCATGTTGTTGTCTAGCACATCTATGTCTATGGTAAAACGATATATCATGCGACCGAGAGGGGTAGTGTCAAAAACTGTAATAGGCGCCCGAAGGGTCTGCCATAGAGCATTGTTCGACATGACCTTACTTGACTTGATGCAAATCAAGCAAGTGACAAGGGAAGACAGAAAAAGGAAAACTATCTGTATGAGGCTCAAGCCGGCGTAGATACCAATCTGGATAGAGTCAGTCAGGAGTTTCGCCAGAAGGTTGTAGGATATAATACATATTGGTTACGAGTGAGGTCAAATTTGTTTTGGACCCACCATGAGAGCCATAAGCCGCCCATTATGCTGGAAGTTCTAAACAAGGACTGTCCGATCAACATCACCAAGCCGTTCCATAGACTGCCGGATGCTCTCAACCAAGATATATACACCGATAGCGGCACACTGTCAATGATTTTGGTTTCTTCCTGAATCAGCTTGGTGACATCAAGCTTTGTACCATCCTCGGCTTGATTCTCTTCTGTCCCTGCTTTACCTTCTGGCGTCGTTTCGTCGATATCGTCACGATTCTGCTGGTCGTGTCCCCTAAAGGTCATCATTTCGCGGAATGCAGGCGTGGTGCTCATAAGCTCTTCGTAAGTGCCGCTGGCCTCGATCCGGCCGTCCACCATCCAGATGATCTTGTCGAAACGAGACATCAGGTGCAAGTGATGCGTGGCGAGGAACCTACACTTGGATTGTAGCAGACCACAGATGGCCTCATTGAAGATATGCTTTCCTACGTGGGAGTCAACAGCGGAAAGCGGGTCATCGAGAAGAACAACGTCAGCATCGGAGTAGATGGCACGAGCAATGTTTATCCGCTGCTTCTGGCCACCAGACAACGTTACACCCCGCTCGCCAATCTCCGTCATGTCGCCGTCTGGCAGTGCTTGCATGTCCGGTATCAGGGCACAAGCTTGTAACACGTCAGAGTATAGTTGCTTGTCGAAAGGCTTCCCAAAGATGATGTTATCGCGAACGGTAGCGTTTTGAATCCACGCGTACTGTGGACAATATGCTCTGTCGGCGCCAAATCGAACATCGCCTCCAATCCGCCTCATTTCTCCAGCAAGAGCACTGAGAAGTGAAGTTTTCCCAGATCCAACACTACCGATGATTCCGACCAACTCGTTTCGTTGATACTCGAAGCTAAGGTCGTTCAGAGAAAATGGTTTGTCAAGACCGTGCTTTTCTGTATCTTTATCATGGTCCTCTGGCGAGTTCTTTAAAGCCCGTCTCCTTTTGGAGGTTTTCGCTAAAAATCGCTTAGCCGTCTTGCCTCCTTTTTTATACGCTTCCTCCTCGTCGACCAGAATATTCTCCCAGGTGAAGGACGCGTGGTTGAGCTGAACCGCAGGCCCAAGGTCAGACTCATTTCCACCCTGCGGTGGCATTTCTTCAGCGAGATAGTAGTCCTCTAGCCGCTTTAGCGATTGAAATGCATCCAGCAAGAGGCCGAAGGCAACTGGCAGCCAATTTGTCGGCACGCGCAGCATGTAAAAGATTGCTAAAGACGAGAACACCACCGCTGCATCTAGACGACCAAAGACGACTGCATACACGATGAACGTCGTCATGATAGCAAGAACAGGTAGAAACTGAGCAATCCCTCCGACGGCACATCTGATGAGATGCATCACTTGCAACGCTCGAGTCTCTGACGCACGAATGCCCTTCAGACGGTCCAGAAAGAAGGTTTCCCAACTGAAATACTTGACAAACCGGATGCCCTGGAATATCTCTTGTGTGAGCGTGACCCGCTGATCGGTAAACTTGTTGATACGAGCTCGACTTGCGACCAGCGGACGGGTGGCGTAGGTGACAGCAGCGAGGCCAAAAATTAGAATAGCTGCCCCTGTGAGTGCAGGCCAACCCAGATTGTACACTAACAGGGCGACTGTGAGCACGATCTGGTACACCGACAGCCATCCCAAGTGGAAGACAGCAATGGCTTGCTCTATGCGGGCAGTGTCTGTGGAGATCAGATTCATTACACGTCCATTGGACCAGCCCTTGGCATCTGCACGCCAGAGACTAGTGTCCGCTTCCCCAGTTTCTGGCTTTCCCCCGGCCTTGGCGCGGCTGGAAAGTTTCAATGATTTACTAAAAGCTAGAGCAATGAGGGCGCTGCGAATCTGTCCCCCAAGCAGTGTGCCTCGATAATAAAATTGCGTTGAGGCGAAATTCTGCAGAATTTGCATAGCTGAGATGCCAATGACATATCCAATTCCTGTAGCGACCGACGAAGACACCGGCACTCCATCTACTGGATAGTATGCCAGTTGCACCCAACTGATGAGGAAACGCAAGGTGAATGGTGTTAGGACCTGCAAGGTTGCCACCCAGAATTGACAGAGGGCTCCCAACCAGAAGTCAAATTTGAAGATCTCGTAGAGGGCCCTCAGAAGAGGCCATCGCATCCGAGCCGTGTGTTTTCCTATGAACGAATCATGAAGTCGAGGTTCAAGCATGCGTATGAGCCTTGCATTTGGTACAGTCCAGATGTCGTTCCGCTCTAGATGCCTTTTGAAACCTGCCTACGCCCGTTATTTCAGTATCAAGCACCAACAAGCTTCCCCCACATACGCACACAGACAGACGCGAGAGGGGATAGTAATAAGAGAAAAGCAGCTTACACTCATGAGGGGACTTAGCCACGAGAACGATATTTTGCTCCAAAAACCTGCGTTTGCCTCTGCAGATGCCTCTCTTTGCGCAGGAATCTCTGGAACATTGTACCGCCCACCAATCACCTTCAGCCACTGCGGGGCCATTGTTGAAAAAACGAAGTTGAAGAATGAGGCGGTCAGTGATGTTCAGCAGAGCAAGAGACGTAACTTGGTTGCCGCGTTCATACTTGTTGGTTCATTGCCTCTATTCACTCACGTGACTGTTGAAAGGGGGCACAGGGGCACTCTAAACAGAAAACGTCAGGATTGTGCGTGCCTGTAAACCAGCAAGGTTGCGTTTGAGACATGACGAAACGAAAGACGTGTATGTACTGTCATAACGAGCCGCCCTTTGCAAGCTTGCAGTGGGATGTTCCGAGTGTTCCAGGATAGCTAGTCTCCTGCAATGTCAAGCGCCGGGCTGAGATCTGCGCCGCGATGTATGGTCACAAATACTAGGATGTGCATGCGTCAGATGTAAGGTCAACCGTCAACAAGTCTTATCGGAGCTAAGAAAATGCCATACCTGCCTAATGGGAATTCCATCGAACTGGCCTGGGAATTAGCCAGGCATTGTTGGATTGCCATTCGGACCGTTTACGACAGGGAAGCTCTGGCCATGACGCGACCATCGAAGGATGCACGAACTTCGAAGCAGCTGAATTATCGCGAATAATATGGTGCGGTCTGCAACCTTATCACTCACATCATGTGACCAAATCAAATCATCAAATTATTGAGATATCAGCATTTTATTTGTGTTCTATTTGCCACTGTATCTAGCAGTAGTTTTAACTCTTGTGGTTTAATACCGTGGTTCTGAGAAAACCACGCTTTCCTAGTCTAGATCCTGATGCTGAATACCACAATTGAGACTGCGAGAAAGAGCAAAGCAGCAAGTCCGAAGGGAAGCCCGAGCCACCAATCTCCCAATCTCATACCCAGGCGGAAGGCCCAAGCCATCCCTGGTCCCGCCACAAGACTTCCTAATCCTTCCATAACAGATATAAGTGCGTAAAGACGCCCAATGTCGCTTGTGTTGCTCGCGTGGTGGGACTCGACGAGATATGTTACTAGGCTGCGAATGATTGGAACGAAGCCCATGCCAAGGATGAAAACGATCAGTCCTTAGAGAAGTGTCAGCGTTTTCGGGGTGGACGCATTGAAAATGTCAAAGGAATTACCAGTAATCATAAGGAACACTGTTTGTGATAGGAAAAGGATAAAAGCCCCCAAGACTAGAAGAATGACACTAGCTTTCCCAACCCAGAGATCTCTAGAAGGCGGACTCAAGCCAGAAAACGCAAAGTTCATGATGACAGGTAAGATTACCGCAAACAGGGTGATAGTAACGCTGGCCCGTAGCGATATAAGTAAGCCGGCCTATACACAACCCCGCATTAGACACAGGTATATCGTCGAGTGAAAGAGAGGACATAGGTGATTGCTTACTTGCGCAATAGTCCAGTTGTACTTCTTGGATGCATATTGGAACAGGACGTTATTAGCCTGACGGCCAACTTTTGAGATAAAGAAGCTCGAAACGAGAGCCAAGACAGTTAGGTCGCGTGTTACGAACTCAAATGATTCTCTTGCTCGCTGGATCTTGTCCTTCCACTTGATACTACTATGCTTGCTTTGATCAATTGATTCTGAGTCATTCGCGCCACTTGCTACGCTATCATCAACGTGATTTGGAGGGCTGGGCACAGCTATGGGGAGTGTTTCTGGCAAAGTGAGTGCGATCATGGCTGCGAGTCCTCCGAACAATACAGCTAAAAGCAATGGGATCCAGACATTTTGAGACATCAAGTAGGACGCAATCGGCGGAACAAAGACGTCCGCGACTTGGTCGGTACAGAATCGATAAAAAAACACGGTACTCCTGGAATGGTAGAGATCTAGTTAGCGAACTGTTGCCCATTAAGAGGGATTGCAGAGCTAAATCTATACCTGAACTCGGGCGGTACAACATCAGCAACCATTGTTGTCAATAAAGTCGTACCGGTTGCTCCACCACCGCCAATCAAGGAAAAAAGCGATGACAGCCAGACATATTCTAGAGGCAGTTTCAACCCCCCAACCTATCAACTGAGCATTAGCACAAATTCCGTATGAGGACCTGCCGCGCCGGGTGGTACGTACAAAGAAGAGAGTTGATGCCCAGGTCAACGCGTATCCCGTTAACGCAAAGACCAAAACCCACTTGCGTCCATATGTATCAGCGATATATCCGTAGGGAACGGGAAGCAGGATGGCTGGGATACTGTCGAAGAACAATTGCCAGCCCAGTACCGACGCAACCTTGCTTTGCACGGGGTCGACTTTGCAGAAACGCTCCGGCACGGAGCCATCTGGATCAAGCAGCGAGGGATCGTGTCGCGAATAGTAGTTGGTACATGCGATAGATTCGAAGAGCCGGATTCGTGGGGCGGTGAAGAGGTCTTCACCAATATCAGATATGATGGCGAGTCCCAATAAGAGGAGCACAACGTGAATCCACGGCCATGAGCTGCGTGTGCGGTGAGTAATTATCAGCGGCTTGTCTGGGCTATCTTCTGTCTCAGTGGGCAACCCGAGAAGTGGTCTTGATTCCTCGATTTCGTCCACATGACTGTTCTCGACATGATGTGCCGCCATGTTGTTGCACGGCAGGATTTGAGGACGTAGGAAGAGTCGAAATTGAGGTTGGAGGTTTGTAATCGTAAGTAACCGAAATCGAACAGTCGTTTGGTGTTACGAGTAAGTATGATAAGGGGAAGCCTTAATTTGCGGTGCCTATGACACCTTGCTATTAGCCCTTGACCTCACAGAGAAAAAGTCATTTTCTCCCGAATCTTAGGTTATAGACATACAGCCAAGTTATGTTCTGACTGTGGAACGAAAGTACGGTATCCCCTCAGCTGCCGTGAGAATCACACTTCCATGCACGCGCTTGTTCATCGAATAAGGGCACTAGGATGCTTCAGTTAGAGCTGTTTAGTTGGTCAAGTAAGCGTCGCACGGACGCTGTGCTGGTGGCCAAGCTATGGCAAGGTGGGGGTATTCTGCTGCAATTGCGGGGGTGTACATTTTTGGGGCCAGGTACAATAAGTATTACTGTAATTAATGTGACTCTGCCACTAAATACTGTAAATAGGTTAGGTAATTTATTAAGCGGATATCTTTCTAGTCAACTACACGCATTAAACAATCAATCCTCCAAATTTTCATAGTTCATTATTTCATTTCCTTTTCTTTCCATAGATACATTAGTTCTACTCCAACCACCCTTCAAACTTCTTTTAATCGCACGAATCCAGTCATCCCAATTGGGAAGAAACACGCAGCCTTCCATTACCCCCTTTTCCCAAATTTCTTTAACCCTTGATATCATGGAGGACAACCCGATGTGTATACAATACAGTCCCTATGAAAATTCTCGTCACGCAACTCCACTTGTGCTCATCCACGACGGCGGTGGCACAATCTTTCCGTACGTTCGTCTTGGGAGCTTAAATCGTGACGTTTGGGCGATCCACGACCCGAATTGGTCTACCTCTGAGCTGTATGAAGGTGGCTTGGATGAGATGGCTGGTGTCTACATAGACTTTATCAAAAATGTTGGCATTCGGGGCTCTATTTTGCTGGGAGGTAAGTCTTTATCATGCATCGATCGGCTCAACTCACTCGCTCGTTGCAGGATGGTCACTCGGTGGCTACATCTCTCTCGCAATTGCGAAGAAGCTGGCGGGAGCTGTCTCTCCTGAGTTCTCCATTGCTGGCATGTTGATTATCGATTCCCCATTGCACATACCCATGTGCAAGCTGCGTCCTGCCGGCCCTGACCCTGACTTCGAACATCTGCCGGAACTTGTGCGCAAGTCGTTCGCCAACTGTGATGTTTATTTGAAAGAGTGGGAGCTACCCCATTGGGATGGACCAACTTGCCAAGGTAGTCCAGTGCGCGCTACTATTCATGACGAAGTTTACACGATTCCCAACGACAGAATTCTGCAGAAACGGTTGGGCCAGAAGTGGTGTACCATCGAGGTTAAGAGATTCGAGCACGATGCCTCCATTCCGGAAAATTCAGCCGGGCCACCGCCTGCTGTGATGATAAGATGCGATTTGCCTTCACCGAACGGCCGAGGCCTTGAGCCATGTCATATAGACCGATTTCGCCATGAGCCCCTACTACGCTGGGATGGCAGCTATCCAAGCTTTATCAAAGCTGTCATAGATGTAGACACGACTCATTATGGCATCTTCGACCCTTCACACGTAGGTTGCTTGCCGTCCCCACCTTTGTTGCCCCCTTCTCACCCCCTCCTCTCATTGTGTTATTTTCATATTACTCTCAGTAGCCTTTGCAAATTCAATCATTCAGCGGGATTCAGGGATTCACGCCTGGCTAATTGGGCTTTCAGGTCAAAGTCGCTACACAGCAATTGAACGAGGGTCTTGATATTCTTGATAGTCTGAAAGTTCTCTAAGGCGCAAGAACAACAGCGTTGCATTGGAGAACTGTACAAGCGTTGTCTCTTTTTTCGTTTCATCGTTATACCCCTACAGTGGTGGAGTGAGAAAGGCAAGTCCACGGCCTGAAGAAAATACGGAATCAAGTGTAATGCGATGGGCTTGTTTGCTCACTTCGCTACTCAACTTGGATAGAACTCTAGTGGATATAGCTACTGTTCTCGTCTTCAACAGGTGAAGCTAGAATTTCAAGTGAACTGAATTGATTTCATCTTATGGGTAATCTCAACTTCTACCATCCCCACCTGCAATTCATTTTTTTAGATGTCACTATAGGCTACTCAAAGTGGTGACATTTAGCTTGGAAAGACATCTTCTGCATCTCAACCCGCGATAGGCGTCATTGTTTGTCCAGCGTTTCGTCAATAAAATCGCGATAGGTCACACAATTCTGACCATGGAGGATCTAGCGGAATTGCGAGTCGGTTCGGCCCAAAGTGAAAGAAACAAAGGATATATTTGCTAGTGGCTACTTTAATAACTTACTTGAGACTGCCCCTTTCACATCAAAACAGAATAAGCATCGTACTGGCATTAAGGCTAAAACAACCGCAGTATTCCACGTGGCTTTCTGTTGTGGATCCCCCCTCCTTCTAATCCCTCTAATCCTTCTATTAACCAAACATTCTCAGAGGCTAGCAACGCTAGGACTAAGCCGATGGCCTGAACATATGGAGCTTTTTCTGTACTTGACAGCAGTTAAGTCAGTACAGTGCTTCAAATGGGAACCCGGGCTGACACTAAGCAACTAACCTCGCCATTTTGCAAGCGGTGACTTTGCAGTTGCATACGCTCAATCTTGTTCGCAAGTTCGATCGGTACTGGCTCATCAAAGATATCCTTGATCGACACTCGCAAATTCAGTCGGCGACTGATTCGTGTGGCCAGTTTGATCGTCAGAAGTGAGTGGCCGCCCAGATCGAAGAAATTATCGGTAGTATTGACCTCGACGCCGAGCACATTACCAAACTCCTCGCATAGCGCTGCTTCCAAATCACTAAGTACGGCTACATGTTCGACGACGATTTGGGTTTTCGGCGCACCCTTGATCACTTCGGGTTTCGCTGCACGCGTGACGGCCGTATTCTTCGGTACGCTCTCGGCCATTTGCGTTAGTCTTGTCCGGTCGACCTTGCCATTGGGGTTGAGAGGCATCTGGTCTAGAATTATGATCATTGTCGGGATCATATAGGATGGGAGATGAGCCTTTAGTTGATTGCGAATGTCTTTTTCAATTTTACCATTGTGATTTCCTGGCTGCTTGGCGACGTCCTTGCCGAATGGACTCTGCTTGATTGTATCTCCGTTTGACAACCCCTTGTTTGCGAAATCGACTCGAATCAAGACGAACGCAACAATTTCCAACGTTTGATTCTCGTCCTTTCGGATGACGACAGTCGCGTCCCGAACAGCAGCGCGGTTGAGCAGAGCATGTTCCACCTCAGCAAGCTCAATACGGTGGCCTCGAATTTTAATTTGCTGGTCCATGCGGCCAAAGGCTTCAATTATGAAATCCTTTGGTCGATAGCGAACCAGATCGCCGGTCCTATACGCCCTCACTGGTGGGGAGTCGCTCTCAAGCTGAACTTCAACAAAGCGGTTCAAGTCGAGCGCTGAATCTTTGTACCCACGAGCGAGCGCATCGCCTGTTATGATGAGCTCTCCCATTACACCCTTGGAAACCAGTCTCTGTTGCGAATCCATGATATACACTCCAGTGTTGCTAACAGCTCTACCGATGGGGACACCATTGGTGTAGTCCTCATTATTGCGGAGCTTATACATTGTGCAAACATGGGACTCGGTGGGACCATACGCATTGTAAACAGATGGGATGAGTGATCTCACCTCAATTGCATCTCGGCCATCCAATCGCTCTCCACCGACGTGCAGTAACTCCAAATGGGCAAGAGCAGAGGGCTTATCAGCCAGATATTGCTTGAGCAAGGCGGTCGGGAAGAAGGCGACTCGGACTTGTTGTCGGGCAAAGACGTTTGCGAGAGCTTCGCCGTCCAAGACAGTCAAATAATCAATACAAATCAAAGTACCCTTATTAAGGAGTGCCACTAGTATTTCCCATACCGAGACATCGAAAGCGATATTATTCAAGTGTGCCACGCGAGGCGCCTGTGGGAGATCAGACGCCACGGTACTTCCTTTCACAAGCCGGATAATGCTGCGGTGTTCAACCATAACACCCTTCGGCGTGCCCGTGGAACCTGAAGTGAACATTATATATGCAAGGCTCATCGACGAGGGCTTTTCGGTGTCTCTCGCAAGTTCATCCGCATCACAATGGCCTAGCGTGTCACTGATCCATACCATTTCAACATCCGGTAATTGAAGATTTGGAATGATCACTCCAGAACTCAGAAGGACCAACTTGTTTCCTGTAATAGCAGCCGAGAGGATGGTTTCAATGCGGGCGATTGGAGTCTTGATATCGAGTGGTAGGTAGGTCAAATTAGCTTTGAGGATGCCCAAGAATGCAACGATGCCTTGGCATGATCGAGTTGCGAACACGCCTATTGGGGTCTCGGCTGGAAGACGTCGCCGTCGTAGCCAAGCAGCGAGCTTGTTCGACTTCTTATCAAGTTGAGAATATGTCAACTGCGATGTTGAATCTACAACAGCAATCGCGTCTGGGCAGGCGACAACCTGTTCGCCGAAAATGTCGACCACACTTGATTCCTTCGGGTATTCAGTCTTTTCGATCTCAAATAGACCTAGGCTACGGAGATCTGCAACCCCGTCGGTCAAGGCCAGAGATGATACTGGGATGTGCGGCTCCTCAATGCCTCGGCGTAGAGTCTCCTGAAAGACAGCAACCATATTCCGGATCGTCTCACGCTCGAAAAGGTCAGCTGCGAAGAGCACGCTGCCTTTCAGTCCCTTGTCCCCCTGAGATAGATGGAACTCGGCATCGAATCTAGTGGAAACTGCAGATGGTACGCGTTCTGCTTTCAGGCCCTCCAATTGGATTGTGTCAAGGTCCGGTTGAGAATGGAGCGCAAACATGAGCTGTACTAGCGGGTTCCTGGACATGTCCCTTGACCCAGGTGAGAGTGTAGCCACGAGGCGTTCAAAAGGAACATCTTGGTTGGCGAGTGCCTCTGCGACTGTCGAGCGTACCTGCAGTAGCAGTCCTTCAAAGGTGTCCTCCTCGTTGACCTGGATACGTAGACACTGGGTATTGACGAAAAAGCCAATGATTTCCTCCAGCTCCAGTCGGTCGCGGTTGGCAACTGGTGTTCCAATATTGGCATCCTGCACGCCGGTCAAACGGTAATGTGTTGCGCGAAACGCTGTGAGCAGTACAGTAAACATAGATATTTGTCTGTTGCGACAGAACTCACGAAGGTCATCGAAGACCGAACCCTCAATCACGAACTGGACCTCACCAGCATAACCTGATGGTACGGCCGGCCGTTGATGGTCACTCAGTAACTCGGCAGGTGTACTATCAGTGAGTTTCTTAGTCCAGTATTCGAGCTGCCGCTGATGTTCAGCTTTTTGTGCGTCTTGTTTTTGCCACACGGCAAACTCCCAGTACTGGATCGGGAGCTGGGTCGCTTGCGACAGAGGGTCTTGGCCTCGAAGAGCAGCGGAGTAGAATCTACTCAGCTCCTGACGTAGAATTGCATTGGACCAATCGTCTGAGATAATGTGATGCATGACGATGCATAATATGTATTCTTCGTCGTGTAGCCGCAACAACGACACTCTCCATCCCGGCTCAGATGTCAGATCAAATGGAGCTGTCTGCTCTTTCCGCAGCAGCTGGCTTAAATTTGAGTTTCGCTCAACTGATGCATCAATCACTCTCAGCTCTTTTCCGCAATAGTCCTGAATGACCTGCATTCCTACACCGTCTTGCGTCTCAAATGTTGTTCTCAGAGCCTGGTGCCGCTGCTCTAGAGCATTGAGTGCACTGGTGAGGGCTTCAGTCTGTAGCTGCCCACGCAAACGTATTGCAAATGGTAGGAGATAGCGTGATGAGCCACGGATTAGCTGGTCAAGAAACCACATTCGGCCCTGAGCAAATGACTGCTCCACGGGTCCAGCGTAATTCATTCGGGGGATAGGCTTATGTGGGCTCGAGCCTTTTCGAATGGTGGCTGCTAGGTCACCTACCATGGGCTTGTCAAAAACTTCTTTCACTGATACGCGGGTACTCAACCGCTGGCTAAGTCGAGCCGCGAGTTTTGTGGCCATCAGCGAATGTCCACCAAGATCGAAAAAGTTCCCGTAATGCCGACTTTCGTGATGCCTAACACATCGGCATACTCCTCGCAAAGTATAACCTCAATATCATTGCGCGGTGCTACGTGCAAGGAGGTTGGCTTGTCTTCGAGTGAATTCTCCCCCTTTGCTCTCCGCTCGAGTTCCTTACGGTCGATCTTGCCATTGATATTCAGTGGCATCTGATCCAACACTATGATCCGCGCTGGAATCATATAAGTCGGGAGCAATTTCTGCAGCCGCTTACGGACATCGTTTCCTATCTGCATGGTGAATTGATTGGCAGGATATCCTGAGTGACCATTAACCTTCTGCTGCACGTCGCCAGAGTTGTTCTCCTCAGCTACGACAAAGGCAATTATTTCCAGCTCCTGTTGCTCTTCCTTCTGAGTCACGACAACGGCCGCGTCCCTAAGAGCACTGAGATTAAGCAAACTATTTTCTATCTCGGCTGACTCGATACGGTGGCCACGAATCTTGAATTGTTGATCTATGCGGCCGAAGAACTCAAGTTGACCACCTTCTGGCTGGATTCGTACTTTGTCTCCGGTTCGATATGCTCGTACATGCTCGTCACCGATGTTTATAAACACAAAGCGGTCCACATCCAGCGCGGGGTTGGTGTATCCTCGAGCAAGACCCTCGCCGGTAACAACCAGCTCTCCCATGACTCCGACAGGAACAAGCTGTTGATTTCGGTCCATCACATAGGCTCCCGAATTGGTAACAGTACGTCCAATAGGGACGCCGTTGACAAACAACTCGTGTTCTCTAACACTGTAAACGGTGCTGACAATGCCGTTCTCTGTCGGACCATATCCATTGTAGACACGACTACGAACAAGCGCTTTTGCCGCTGCCGCATCACGACTGTTGAACCGATCGCCAATGACAAAGACAGCGTCCCAAGCGCTGACTGTCTCAGGAATGTTGACTATACACTGCTGAAGTAACGCGCCCGAGAACATCACCACGCGGATTTGTTCTTGCGAAACCGCAGCCGCAAGTGCGTTACTATCTAGAACGGTAAGATAATCGATGCATACGAGTGTTGACCCGTTCAAAAGTGCAACAAAAATCTCCATTATTGAAACGTCGAATGCGATGCTCGTCAAGTGCGCTACCTGCGTAGTTTGTGATGGAAAATCGGAAAGAAGCTTGCTGGATTTTACCAGCCGTAACACATTACGGTGCTCTACCATGACCCCTTTGGGTTGACCAGTCGACCCGGATGTGAACATAACATATGCGAGACTTGTCGCAGAAGGGCGGACTGTCAACAGGCCATCTTTATCACGTTGGCCGAGAGTATCGCTGATCCGCGTTGACACTACATCTGGCAGTTGGATATTTGGAATCTCCATTTTGGAGCCAAAGAGTAGAACCCTGGGACCTTTGATAGTCGAGAGAATTGTCTTGATACGGGCGATCGGAGCGTTAACGTCAAGCGGTAAATACGCAAGGTTCGCTTTGAGAATGCCTGGTTTGCTCCGTTAGTCAAGACACGGGATTTTGGGAGTGGACGAAGCACATACCTAGAAGTGCAACGATTGTTTCGCATGATCTCGGTGCACACACTCCGATTAGTGTTTCGGCCACTGGATATCTGGGGCGTAACCAGCTAGCCAGCTCGTCGGATTGCTGGTCCAACTGCGAATAGGTCAGCCTCGCCGACGAGTCTCGCGTTGATGATTCCGTGATGGCTATAGTATCTGGGTGAGCTGCAGCTTGCTCGCGGAAGACATCAACTATGCTCGAGTCCCGTGGATAATCAGATCTCTCCATCTCAACAGCACCCAAAGCGTGTAGCTTTACTAGACCATCAGCGTCAATAAGAGATAGCGTTGAGATCGGCGTGTGAGGCTGTTCAAGACCTCGGCGGAGGACTTTTTGAAAGATTTCAACCATGTTGCAGATAGTCTCTTGTTTGAACAAGTCTGTCGCAAACTGTGCAGTGCCGCTTAGCCTTCCATTATGTTCCAAAAGTCGCCAGATTACATCAGATTGAGGTGATGTGTCTTTCTCTGAACTCTGAAATTGCTCTTGATTGCCCTTCTTTTGGGGATGGAAGGCAAATAGAAGTTGTACCAGAGGGTGCCGAGATGTGTCTTTTGTCTCAAGGAGAACCGACGCAACATCATCGAAGGGGATGTCTTGGTTTTGATGGGCGGCCAATGCTTTTGATTGAACTTGGTGGGTCAATGACTCAAATGTGTCATTGTCTTCAACTGTGACGCGCAAACACTGAGTATTGGCACTGTTACGCTCGAGAGGAAGAGTTCCTATAGTCGCATCTTCTGCCCAAGTGAGGCGATAGTGTGTTATGCGAAACGCGGCGAATAACGCCGCGAAGACAGGCACTTCATGTGCACGGCACCATAACCGAAGGCATTGATACACACATTCATTGACGACTAGCGGGACCACGGCGAGTGGACCAGAAAGTGTAGACGGGCGAGGGAAATCTGTTAGAAATTCAGCCGGAGAGCTGTTTGCAAGCTCTTTGGTCCAGTATTCAAGCTGGCGAACGTGCTCGAGCACCTCGTGAGACTGTTCGACGGGCCCAGTATCCTGAAATAAATCAGTCATTTGCGATCAGGGTTTTGCAGATTGAGATCTTGAACCTTTACCATGTTGAGAAAAAGTGTTGCGTTGGCTTTTGTGATATTTTTGGACGTTGCTCCGGTTATAAGTGAGACCAAAAGAATTATGTACGATATGGCATATGATTCCTCTGTAAATGCATGTGATACCAGGAGAATGCACAGGAGGAAATATATTAACCAAGCTCTGATCTCCGTCTTTCGCTCAAGTGGCAAAATCTTGCAGTAAATCACCAGGTTTACGGCTTACAAGACTACAGTAACTTATGTTAATCCGCAATTCAACAACCATGGCGTGCGCGGCTGTTCTCTGCATGAGATGGGTGCCACATATCAAATCCTGTAGTTGCTGTCCACAGTCAACACAAAGCATTTTCTTGTCTACATGCACAGAATTAAACGATGCTAGACGGTTAGGAGCGATGACGCAAGTACTGTGTCTCCGTGACAGTAACTAGCAAGCATCAAGTCAAAACTGGAAATGCTGACATTTCAGACCTATGAATGACAGCCATGGTCCAGGGCGCTTCACAAGACTTCTTTGACAGAGAACCCCCACCCGCTTGGCGGCATTGTCTACGACATTGTACTTGGTCACAGTCGCGCCTTCAAGCTTCGCTAATTTATAGGACGACTGATCAGCGGGTGACCTCGCATGTGCCCCTGAAAGCTTAAGCGAAATGCCGGGACGACTGCTACGAGTATCTCCTTGGCTGGCGAGTTGCTTTGACTTTGCATATACTTAAAACTTGATAGTTGCAAAGTCAATAGAATGCGCTGCTAAGGAATATCGTCAATATACATTTTTACTCAAAAAAATGTGAAAGTTCGCTAGGCGAGTAATGAATAAAATGAAACAAAATATGACGTTAAGAATAGTGGGCCGTTGTAGAAAACAAATTATTAGAAAGTGGAACGAGTCATACTATATAAGATTATCCTTTTACTCCACTTAGATTTTTCAGTGTAACAACTAAATACTTACAGAACTTTGCACGACGTGGGAAACATGACCGAATTCGAGGTTCCAATTGTTGACGCTTCTCTCTTCCTTGACGGCGATAGCTTAAAACGACAAATCTTCGCAAACCAGCTTCGAGACTCTTTGATACAGCATGGATTTGTTCGAGTTATAAACCATGGCATCTCTGATGATATGATTGAGGAGATATTTGATTGGGTACTTCCAGAGTGCTGAATCTTCCTTTAGTTGTGTTGTAAACTGACTATGGAGTTCATAGTCCAAGAGGTTCTTTCATCTACCTGTTGATATCAAAAGTGAGATTCTACATTTTGCAGACGGATCGAATCCTCAACGAGGATGGAGTAGTGTCGGCTCAGAGAGTACCGCCAAATTATTCCATGCTTTGAAACCTGGCACAAGTGATAAGGACATCAAGCCGGACATTAAGGTGACTAACCAAAGTCGAATATGCATGATCTCCTTGTACAAGACTAATCGGTTTCAAATAAAGGAGCACTTTGACATGAGCGGGACTGTCGATTCAAAATATCCAAACAAATGGCTTGCTGAGTCGTCAATCTCTGGCTTCAGATCTTTCATGGAAGATTTCTACGAGAGGTGCAACTCGGTCAGCATGCTGCTGCTCGAAGCCATGGAGATTTCCTTGAATCTACCTGCAGGGTCATTCACGGCTAAGTGTCAACAAAAGGCACATGAATTACGCTTGAATCATTATCCAGCTGTGAAACAAGAGAGGATCTCACCTGAGATAAACCGAGTGTGGCCCCATACCGATCTGGGAGCTATCACCTGTCTTTTTCAAGACACGGTTGGGGGTTTGGAGATTGAGGACAGAACCCACAGGGGCACATTCCGGCCTATTCCTCCAGGGCCGAGAGGCGAGATGATTGTGAACATTAGCGAAACAATGCAACGATGGTCCAACGGAATGGTATGTTCATTGTGGTGTGCTCCTGTCTTTATAACAGTTTGGGTATTAACCTTGTTTATAGATTCCTGCCGGCGTACACCAGGTAACATTGCCCCCGAGCTTAGAGAACAAATCTGTCAATGGGAACATCCCAAACATCCCTGAACGGTATTCCATCCCATACTTCGTCAAGGCTGATTACAATGCCTCGGTGGGACCGCTTCCTCAATTTCAACAAAGCTCTGCCCCTTCTGCGTATCCCGACATGACAGGATTAGAATTTCATAGGCGACGCCTTGCACAGGCTTACTAGATTGGCGATCCTCCGAGTTGAGAGATGAAGGAGTGTCGTTTATTTTTCAATGTACCTCTGTACATGGCAGGTGGTTTTCAAAACGTTACTTCCGAGACTTAGTTATGGGTATTTTATGCGCGGTGTTTGTCAACACGGATCCACGAGTTTGGATTGTACTTTAAAGTATATAACAAGATTCGAAGGCTTGCCAAACCTCGCAGACTCAATTTTTGCTAAACTGTACGGCTTTGTGAGGCGAACTTCCAAAACAATTTAAGCGTTCATAGCGGCAGTATAAATCAAAGTGGATTAGAGTGCCATCGACAATTAAATATACAGATCTGCATTTCGTCTTAAGAAGGCAGCTCCACAACTTTCCAAGGTTGTCGCCGCAGACCTAGTTAGACCTCTGCCAGCACTATTCTCGGCGTTGGTTTGTGTCCTACGTGCCTTGTTACTTTGCGAACTTGCAATGAACAAGTTTTGAACAGTACTAACAACCTAGCAATACGCTCGGGGTGCAATTCAGCAGAAATGTCTATTGTATCCAAACTGAGGAACCGCTACCACAGAAGCCACGCAAAAATGAGCGTGAAAAAGGTGAGCAACGGAGACACGGTTGACTTGCGAAGGGAGAAACAAGGGGGTTGGAATTTTCCGCGTAAGTGTCGGCTCCAAATACATGTAGCAGGTAACATGAACAGGTGAAAGCTGATCCTCGTGAGTAAAGTTCTGAGATACCATCAAAACGTGTTCCATTTCAAGGGCTACGTTGATCCGAATCTTGGGGACATGAACAGGATGTACTAATTCTTGAGGTTGTAAGTAGAATTATCTAAGCTGATATGGCTTTGGAACGAATTTGGCAATTTTAGAATTGGAAAGCGAGCATCACTTTCTGGTTCTACGCAGCACTGAACCATCTTACTGGGCTGGTATACTCAACCACAATGTACCTTGTAAATAACAACATCGCGCCTAATTCAATGGTTTTGAGTACAGCGACTGTACTATTACAAATGGCTCATCAATTGAAGAAGGGTTTAAGAATACAGTTGAGCTTTTTGCCTTCTAAAAGAAAACCATCATGCCCGTCTTCGCTTTCCAGTGCATAGAAGGTCGCGTTCGGTAAGCCCTTGGCCAGGGCCAGCTGTTCGCTCAGAGGATATAGACCATCTGTGGGAATTCCAACCACCAACGCCGGTTGCTGAATCTGTCTCAGTACTGCCTCCATGGCATCACCGTCAGATAAATTCTCATAGCGTCCGCGAATGATATCATGCGAGTCAATCTTGTCCAAAAGATGGATGTAGCAATTAGTATCAAAACGTTCATTGAACTTCTCGGCCTGGTAGCGTAGATAACTCTGCACCGCGAACGTGGGCTGCTTGTTGCTACGATGGCCGCTAAGGCTCATGCCTTCCAAAGACATAGAGGTACAGGGGTTAACATTGTCTCCAGGACGGACGTCTTCCACAGATCTGGCTAGTAACCTCCGTCTCCCAAATCTTTTGTCGAAAGATTTATGCGTCCGGTACGACAGCATGGCTGACATTCTCGCAGCTCCAAGGCCGGCGACGGGAGGGTCGTCAGTGTAGAATCCTTCGCGATACTTGGCGTCGGCTTTGATTGTTGCTCGTTGATTTTCCGCCCATGCTATAGCCCATGGACCCTGTCTTGCTGTAGTTGCTATCAGGACCAGCGATCGTACGTAATCTTCGCCGAACAGTGACCACTCAAGGGCCAGCATACCGCCCATGCTAGCCCCGATGACGCTGTGAATTGATCGCACTCCCAGTTGGTCTAGGACATATTTCTGAATGCTATTCTGATGTATCAGGATCACCACTGGTAATGTGAAGGATGCAAGACAGTCTTACCGAACATCGTCCCGGATTGTTGTCTTTGGAAAACTAGGTCCATAGAAAGCGGTCCCGTCGCCTGGCTTGGAGGAAACAGGGCTAGACGAGCCATATGGACTGCCTAAACAATTACAACAGATGATACAAAAACGTTCGGGGTCTAGTGCTGCCTTTTCGTTGCCGGAAAACAGGAGAGACCACCAGTCTTCAAAGTCGGCACTACCGGAGAGAGCGTGACAAATGACGACTACATTGGAGCGTAGAATATCTAGACGTCCTTTGATGATGAAAGCGACAGTTGCGTCGAATATTATTTCCCCCGACTCCAACACGAACTCATCGATTGTGGTATAGAACTGAGTGGGAAGCTTGTCCGGCATCGAGTGCCAGCTATCTGTTGGGGGCCAGAGTTAATGCTTGTGATCCAAAAATCTGCCCAAAATAATCATTGATGGACTTACTGCTCCGGGGCTCGGGCATTCCAAACTTGTATTCCATAACCATCTCACAATGTTTTGGAAGGAACGATAATCTGAAGGCGGAATGACAGTAGTGAGTCTTACCTATTAGCAATTAGAAGTCGCAATACTAATTTCGTAAAAACAAGCTTATAATCTATAACTAATAAAGATCACTATTCCGTTTATGCAGCCTACTGGATTGACTATGAAACAACTTCGCTTCCAGGCATCATACACTTCAAGCCCCCCCGTAGCGAGTTGATCCTCGCTAAAACAAGGGGCTCTCGCTTAGGCTCGCTGGACAAGCCACGGCATGGGGACGGAGTGGCGATTTGCACTCAAGAGGACACTACTGCAAGGTCAACCGATACAGTCAGATTACGAGCCCACCGTATGACCTTTAATAGGGGGGGGATAGTAGCACCCAAATAGGAATTCCCCCGCGTTACGGAGGTAAACCGTCTCTGATTTCTTGATGTTTGGTCCATACAAGGCAAGGTCACTGCCAAGCAATATGGGAGGAAATTTACCACATCGCACCATACTGTGTGGAGCCATGCGGGTTGACGTATGTTTAAATGTAATGTCGTAGAGGTAAACGGCACCAATTGTGTAAAGTCATAGAGATACCGTTACATGTCTGTTTCTTTGTAGACCGATGAATGTGAAGTTTTTCGGTGGTACATGATAAGCGGTGTTTGTGTAGTGATCATAGAGAAGTTTATAGGACAAGTTTTGGTCATAGAATTATAGAATTGATTGATACATCGACGCTTCGGGGAAATAGACAACTAAAGCGTGATGATGTAAATTCGTCGCCAGTCAACCATACTTAGCTATTAATATTCATATCTGCCATAGTGAAGAGATCGATTACTTCGTTGAAGTCAGGACCGATCCTTTTGTAGTCGTTTCTGGGACAACAAAATATCCGAACATGGGGAGCTTATTTACGACTCCCGAATACTTGACCATCGCGTACGAGAAACTTCTTCACAATGACTTGAATGAACTTGCTACTCTACGCAAAGCCTGCGAGCGTGACGGGTTTTTCTATATAGACCTGCGGGATGCGAACAAGCAACTGCATCCCGTAGAGAATGAAGTTCCACTCGTATTCAAAGCTGTCAACGAGTTTTTCAAAATGGACGAGAAGGAGAAGAACAACTACGATATCGATACCATCGCGCCTTGGAAATTACACGGGTACGTACCCTTATAGATCTCTGCACCGGCCATGACTTCTCATGCACTCACACAGACATACACCTGCTGGGAGGAATTCGGGACTTGCTGGCGCAGGAGAAAAGCATGGCGTAGAAGCTTACACAGTAAGTTGGACCAGGTGCTGAACTACGTTGCTTGCCTCCACCACTGACAATTCTATCATTGCAGCTGCCCCGGGATGGTATGAGCAGAGTCGTGGAAGGTCAAGATACTGTTGTTCTGCCACCCATCCTGCAAAAGGAGTCATCTCTCTTCACTGAGTTTATGTCTCAACTGCATATTGTTGCACTGAATATTCTGAGGGGTCTAGATCAGAGCAGAGACGGTATGGGAAGTCGTGAGGGCTTCTTTGCATCGAAACACCGGCCGTCTGAGCCTTCAACGTCTTGCCTATTACTTGTCCGGTACGGGACATTGGATAATGAGATACCCAAAACAGGCCTTGCGCCGCATACAGACGTTGGTAGCTTGACTGTTTTGTTTGCCGATAAAAGAGGACTCCAAGCCCGTCATCCTGACACGGGGGAATGGCAATATCTCGAGCCGCGGGAGGGCTGTGCCGTCATCAATATCGGAGATTCGCTCAGGTTTATGTCCCAAAAGAATTTCCAATCTGCACTACACCGTGTTATACCAACACCGGGAACAACAATACACGATCGCTTCTCTTGTGCCTACTTCCTTCGGCCTGAGCTGGATGCTGAGTTTGACGCCGAGGGTCAACATTGGAAAAGTATCGATTGGCATTTGAGAAAGTATAAAAGCTATCGCTCAGGTCAAACGGGCAAGACAGAATGACCAAGTGTCGCTTCAATCTTCATAAATTATCACAGCATGATGAACATCCTGCCATTCAAGTCCTCAATGCTCCGAAACTGTGAATAAAATTCCTCGTTGTTGCCGAAGTTCTGGTGACAACCTGTTTGCCTAGGAATCGTATATAAACTAAATCTTTTGCTTCACGTCGGTATTGCCAGCTGACCAAGCTGCTGAGGGAGCCCACCTTGATGTGTGTAGCTCCTGGTCGATAGGTAACTTGGAAATTGTGTGGTGACATCAAGTTTGGCGGCGTGTGAGTGTCATGGTGTTAATAAGGTGTTTGAGAGCTTTGTAGTGAGCAAGGACTTTCGTCCATGTACACAGACGCTTGGTGCAAAATGCATTTAAGCTCGAATTCAATCATTCAACAATCAACAAGCTCGACTTCTCAAGGACCGCAGGGTTGAATATTTGATTATCAGCTTTGAAAAAGCTTGCTCAAATAATTCACAGACATTATACTTCGTACATGACTGAAATAACCAGCTTTCGCCGCCGCCACCCTATGTAACAACTTTACCGAATAAGATAAACGCTCATTCAATCTTATTAGACAATGATTCGCTGGACTCTCTAGTTTTACACTATTTTAGAGGAGTGCACAGATGTGGAGGGCTGGTTATTTCAGTCATGTACGAAGTATAGCCTACTTTCTCGCGTAGGGCTTCACATCCTCAAACATGGACGAGCAGCCATCGCCCACTCCAATATATAAGAAGCGGATGTGTTATTGTCCCCCTTTTCAATGCAGCACGGAAATAAACGAAAGCGCAAACGTCATTGATTGCACTAGCTTTAGGGACTCAGCACTCCTTTCGTCATTACGGTCTAGGAGAATACTACTTGTAAACAACGCCCTGTTCCGCAGGTTAGATACTTGGGCCCCCCCCCCGCCACAAAAACCGAGAGACAAAATGAAGTCGATGTTTTGGTGTTAGTTTTAATTTTGATATTTGCATTGTAGCTAAGAGGGACTTTGGTTGATGCTCAAGACTGCTGCCCTTATTTGCCTTCTTCATACCTGAACCTGTCAAGCTGGAACTACTTGTTTGACAAATGATCAAAACATTGGCCTCAAAATTAATTATCTTTTTTCACTCCAAGGGCCCCAGTAGCTTGGTATATTCTACCCATGGCTTCATTGATCAATTCGGGCAGTTTGTCCTCCTCAAGCTTATCGAGCCCCTTTCTAGTCGCACCCCCGGGCGTTGCGACTTCGGATATGATCTCTGCGGGAATCTGGCCTGAAAGTATGAGGTCGGCTGCCCCACGGGCTGCATAGGCTGCCATGCGCAGTGCATTGTTCCGCAAATTGCCTCCGCGGGTGTCTATCTCAAGAGCCCCATCACTCTTTGCCACTGATGCAATCAAAGTTGCAAAGATGGCCGTCGTAGATGCACAGAGCGAAGAGCCGTTATCCATGAGTGTCTCCGGCAGATACTCAACGGCTCCGATATCTGAGAACAGTTGCGTAAGTACTTCATGCGCTGGAGAAGGTCTGCCGTTCTCAGGCAATGCAATGACCGTCATTGACTGTCTTAAACGTGCTGCTAAGTTGGGTATAACTCGGACAATTTCCAGGTTTATCTCTTTTCCACTATTTCCACCGCCACGTACACAGTCCCACAGCTGAGAGGTAGAAACTCCTCCAAGAATGCTGACTAGGATCTTGCTATCTGCCGACTCCAGGAGAGCATCACGAGCGCCGCTTGTCCCAAGGGCTTTCTCAAAATCGTAGGGTTTGCAGCCTAGAATAACAACGTCGGACTGCGAGATGAGCAGCCGACTGTCGCCTCGCAGAACCTGTACTTCCGGAACCTTAGGGGTGACCGAAGATTCTGAAGCAGCTGCGCGCGCATCCTCAAGCTTTTTGCTGAGAAGCTTGGCGGCTGACTCCGATCTAACCGAAACTGTGACTCGGGTGATTGTATACAGTTGCGGTAGCTTTTGGGTCCCACCAGAAAGTAGACCCTGGAGAATTGCAGTTCCGAGCTTGCCTAGAGTTGAGTGAGTGAACAGATTCGATTGTACTATATGACAGAGAGAGAGAGAGTTTCAAAAGGCACATACCGCACCCGAGCACGCCAATAGCGAGATGCTTGCTCATTTCGTCGTGCATCTTGCCTTGTCTGGCGTGAATAAGAATAGGATGACTTTGAGGTGAGAAAACAAAGATTATTGTTGCCTGTCGAGCCAAAACCAAGAAAGAAGCTAATAGACGACAGGGAGCGTTTCTGTACCACTTGCTCTGTTAGACTGCTACTGGTGGGTAGTGGATTCAATGTGAGTGATGTGTGTTTTGCTTGAGGAGTTCAAGAAGGGGGAACAGCCGTGCCTATATATAATAAAAACAGGCGACAGGTGGCTGATTTCACCATAAACTTCCATTGGGTAAGGGTTTGTTCTATTTAGCTTCCTAAGATCCCTGGTATTAATACCGCTGTATAGGGCTTAACTCCGGCCCCGCCCCCGGCTCTAAGCTTAATATTTATCAATCTACGTATCAGTCATTTCAACAGAGATGTCTGCGCTAATCTTTTCCAGGCTTTGTTTGAAGAGTTCAGCCAACTGCTGTGCATCCTGCTTTGGTATTGACTCTGACCAACAAGTCATGCTAGCCGTGCTTTTTAGCTCGTCGTGTACATCTACTTCTACCACTACGGCGTACTGCCATGTGGTTAGCCTATGGCGATGTGATTTACCAACAGGGATCGTCAGGGTACTCACCTCGTAAGGGTCTTCACTACCTGGCAGATCTTCAAAAACCAACGAGCCCGACGCCTTCTGTTTACTTTGATGCTGCCTAACATTAACGATTGTATCAAACAACCCAGTTGGGTCTGTCTTGCGTTGCTTGTTCAAAAATGTTACGAGGGAATGTTGCTGTTCCAGCACGTCAAAGAAATCCTGCTGGGTAGCCTTAAGCAATGCGAGAGTACCTCGCTCAAAATCTTTCACCCGACATGCGCCGATATTGATGGCAGGACCAACAACACGATCAACCTCTGCCACCTGCCCATCTCGACCCGAGATCATGAAGCCAAAAACAACTTCTTCCATTCCGATATGCTGTCTTAAGACTAGTGCCCAAGCTAGACGGAACAGAGTAGCAACAGTGATCCCGTGCGCCTTCAAGATCCTGCCTACAGATTCGATGACATTCTCAGTATTTATCGGCACAGAGAATAGACTCTCGTTTCTCCTTAGGTCCAGCGTTGATGACCCCGTCACCCTCGTAGGCTGAGCCTTGCCTAGGTAATCTGACCAGAACCGGGTACCTTTGCTGGGGATTGTCGAGGCGTACTTCTGGTAGGATACTTCGTGCAAAGGCATAGAGCTGTCCTGATACGCACGAGAAAAGTTCTCGAGGATTATGGGTATCGAAGCATGGTCAACCAAAGCATGGTTGATCTCAAGGCGGCATACCATGCTCGTCTCGTCATATTTAGCGATGTGGAGGCGGTGTTGTGGTCTGGCAGATCGCCATTTCGTTCGCGGTATTGCTAACAAGTTCATGGAGGAGCTGATATTGACCATGTCAGACAGAGATATGTTTTGGACGACAATGTTCATGAAGTCAGTCGAGGATGCCTGTGGGTTGGGCAAGAATATAGTTCGCAGGATCCCGTGAGTTGTAACAACTTTCTTCCATGCGTTCATTATTCTATCCAAATCCATTTGCGAAGAATCCGTGGTGGAAGCCCGAAGCATCATTGTCACATGCCAGTATTTAGAATTCTCCTTTTGAGACCGCAGCATCTGATTTTGCACTGGTGTTGCTGGAAAGATGGACTCAGCCCAAGGCCCTAACTCTCGCTGGAGTATGCTGATGCCGATATTTTGCAGATCACGCCCTAGCCCATCTAAATTGTCGTATGACATGATCATTTCAGGGTGGTCGGATATCGTGGGCCGTGGCTGACATGTGGCCGATAAAGCAGATATCTCCTCCAATGTGCATTTGCATTTGAAGAGCCACTCCTTTACATGCTCTTCCTGGATGACGCTGTGATTGTAGAGAAGCTCAAACCTCAACTCCCCCTTGTCCACGGAAATCGAGAAGTCAAACACAGCAAAGCGACGCATGCTGTCACTAAAATCGTATAGGTCGCCAGGAGTGTTTGCATCCTCTATGAGGAGTCCGCTCCCTTCGCTGGTCCTTGAAGCACCCGTGAAATTCACCATAATCTCTGGGATGTCCACATCTCTGGAGCCAGAGAGTGACTGCCCCTCAAAGAAATCTGCTCCGATACTTTCAGATTGAAATCTCTCATCTTTGATACGTCTGCAGAATTGAAGGAGATCCTCTCCCTTGGCCACTGGAACATGGACAGGCACAACTGTGGTGAACCATCCAACTGTGCCAGAAACATCTAAATCGATGCTGGGTCGCTGTCGGCCATGCCCCTCAAGGCAGAGAACAGGATATTCCCTCCCATCAAATGTACTTCGGAACGCCCATAAAATGGCTGCAATGAATAGATCTGTTGGCTTGGTCCGAAGACAGGCATTGCTGTCTTTTAAGCAGGCTTCCGTGGTAAGGCCATCGAGAGTGAAAGATTCCCGTGCTACATCGGCATAAGTGAGGGAACTTGATCCGTAGCCCCAATAGTCGTGAAGTGGACCGGGCAGATTCAACTTCACTGCTTGCCGCACACGCGCCTTCTCACACCATTCCATGTACGATACTGATGGGGCCGGTTCCAAACATCGTCCCTCGAGTACTGTCTCGATATCTTCTAAGATTAGCTTCCATGATACAATGTCGACAGCCAGATGAGGTGCCACGAGAATCATTCGTTGAAGGCTGTTTGGCTGTTCGACCAAAGTGCAATGAATAAGTGGGCCTGTAACAGGGTTTGGAATGGACTGGAACTCCTTCACACGTTCATTCAAGGACGAGCTGCAGTTGACTTGTAAAAAGTCTATCGAGAATGACCCCTCTACATCTTCTGACACGCACTGTGTAGGGGTTCTCAGTCTAGTGAAGTCATATCTTGTACGCAGCGACTCGTGGCGTGATACAACAGCCCTAATAGCCGCGCGTAGATTCTCTGGAGAGATGCGTCTCTGTGCTAGTACCTGAACACTCTGGTTGAAATGGTGCGGCTGGGATATGGGAGCCAGAAGCGAGTAAGCTGTTTGTATGGCGGATAATGGCATCGGCTGGCCCTTTTTCAGAAGAGATTGAGTGGGCCGTGGATCAACAACAGAGTCAGATCTCCGCGAGAGAACCTTGATATCGTCACCCCGAAGGAGATCCTTGATGGTGATATTTAGCCCTTGATTGCGACCACGAGCGATTGCTTGCATGGCCATAATCGAATCGCCTCCCAATGCGTGGAAGGACCTGTTGACAGCCACAGCATCATCCGATAAGCCGAGAACAGCAGCCCAGACACGTTGCATGACAGTTTCTGTACGTGTGCTTGACTTCTCACGAGACTTCAGCGTTTCGCTTTGTTCTCCCGTCGAAAATATGGATTCATCAATACTGGTCAGCTGCTCTAGCCAACTCTCGATGACTCTGCGATCCAACTTGCCTGAAAGGGAAACCGGCAAGTCTTGCAGAAAGGCAAATCGTTCAGGGACCATATAATCAGGAAGCTTTCTTGCGATTTGACGGCGAATATCGTGAGCTTGACTCTGGTGCGAATCAGCTCGCAGGAGAGGAACGGCCTGGTAAACAGACGTTGGCACAAGGTTGCTAAGACTTGCCCCAAGAACCACGACTAAGTGCTTCGCCAGTATTCCCTTCTTGGGCACAAAGCTCAAGACTGGGTGAGCGGGAGCTACGAGTTGAATATTGTGCTCCACTTCACCAAGCTCTAGTCTTTGGCCCCGAAGCTTCACTTGGTTGTCTTTTCGCCCAACATAGAGCAAGTGACCGTCATCGTCATAGCGTACCAGATCACCGGTCTTGTACATCTTACAGAAGTCCCTGGAAAACCCCGCGGTCCAAGGTGGCGGCGAAATAAATGCCGCCGCTGTTTTTTCGGCATCATTTAAGTATCCGCGGCCAACAATCGAGCCTTCGATGAGTAGCTCACCCACCGTACCAAGCGGAACGAGGCGTTCGTGGTCCTCTCTATCCACGACCCAGAGCGAACAGCCAACGGCTCTGCCAATAGACGAGATATTTGCACTATCACAATCAACAATTGTGCATGCGCAAGTAACTGCACACTCGCAGGGGCCATAGGCATTGACAAGTTTAGTTTTCGCAGCCCAGATCTTGGACACTTCCGTAGTCATTGCTTCCCCTCCAGCAGCGACGGTCTCCAACCCAGGGAGCTCTGCAGGGCTTACCAGTCTGAGAAAGGATGGGGTGAAGAAGGCCCAGTTCACTTTCTTCTCCTTCACAAACTGTGTTAACTCGTCAAGGCTCAATTTTTGTTCCGGGATGCACAGGCATGCACCATGCACTGCCGCCGACAGAATCACCATGACAGCAGCGTCGAATGCGAGGGATGCGAATTGAAGCATTCGTGAGCTCTTCCGAATGCCCCAAGCTGGACCGCTATGGGATATGGTGGTCATGATAGATTCATGCTCGATCAAGACACCCTTTGGACGACCTGTTGAGCCGGATGTCATTATCATATATGCAATCTCATGTGGTGAAATGTTGGACTGCCAAGGCTTTGGGGGCGTTTTCCGGGTCAGTCGATTGAGGTAGTTATGATCAATAGTCCAAAAGTTCAAGGAAGAGAGTGGCTCAGGTAGGGTGGCATTTTGCGTAAGGAACATGGGATTGTTCAGCTCTTCCAGTATATGTGCGAGCCGGTCTGTTGGTATCTCGGGATCGAGGCATAGGAATCCTCGGCCTGCCTTCAACACAGCCCATACGGCCAAGATTAAGGGGAGACCCCTTGGGAAATACAGGGGGACTATTGGACCAGGGCTTGTGGCCATCAAAAGTTGAGCGAGGCTTGAAGAAAAGTCGTCGAGTTGTCGGTAAGTTAATGTACCGTCCCAAGATTCCACAGCAATGTTGTCTGGATCTGACATGCTCCAGCGCGAGAGGCCGTCATGAACAAGCCCCGGAGAAGGAGGCGGGAGACTTTCGTTCCATGCTGCAAGAGTCTGGCAGTCTGTTGGACTGATTTTGCTCAGGGATGAAATTGTCATGTTGCCGTCCGAATTTGACAACTGCCGCAATATGTGTTCCCACAGATTGAGGAACCGCTCGCATTGCTTAGTTGTGATTACCGCAGTGTCAAAACGAGCCTCAAATAAAAGCATATCAGGTTTCAAGGTACATTCAATGACTAAGGCGTGCGAGTCTCGCATTTCGGTCTCTGTAGGGTCTCCAAACAGACTGTGCGTTTTATCTCTTGGTGAGGGGGATTGAATGACCAACATGGTCTGGAAATTACAGGCGCGAGAGGCTCCCACACTTGATTTCCTGATATTCTGCAGACCAAAATGCTCATGCGAGGTCGTAGACTGTTGTTGTCTATCGACCATCTCAATAATCTGAGAGACAGTCTGTTCGGGGCTCCAAGTGACGCGGACTGGAATTGTTACCAGTGTAGGACCAACAACTTCGTCTATACCGGGCATATCCGCATCGCGGCCACTCATGACAGTACCAAAGCATGTGTCATCTTGACCAGTGTGAAGACCGATGGCAAGAGCTAGGGACGCTCGCACGAGCGCAGATAGTTTTGTTCCACGCAGAGTTGGTGATTTTACCTCGAGGTTGTGATGAGCTCTCAATCTTGGGTGGTAGTCAGGAGATGGCAGCCGAGGGAACTGTGCGGCACTGGTTGATCCTAACTGTTGGCACCAGAAATCCTTGGAAGCTTTGCTCTGCGCCGCGTCGACTGAGTACCCTACAAAACCATCGAATAATGGCGTGGAATCCGGCGGCTTCAAGCCTTCGTAAACCTGAGCCACGTATTCTAGACAAAGCTGGAGAGACCACTCGTCAAAAATCAAGTGGTGCATTATCAAGACAAATTCCCAGCGACCAACGTCACAAGAGGCAAGGGAAAAGACTGAAAGTTCGGTTCCAATGTCCATATTCTCCATGACTTTCAGTCCCGCTGCCCGGTCGAAGCCTTCCTCGTTGTTCCAGGTAATAGTGCTTTGAACCACTGCCCGTACTGCACCTTGTTTCGGTGCGATAACAAAGCGAGAGCGCAAGATAGGAAAGATCCGGTACGCGTCTTCCCAGCACATCTTGAACCGACCAAGATCAATGTCATCTCGAAGCTTGAATACGTATCGGGCGACAAATGTTGTTGGCTGGCTTGTCAATGACGGAATCAAAGTCTCCTGAAAAGATGTACAGGGATAAACACCCTCAATATCTTCAGTTCGAGTATTACATTGAGATGCAACCCAGGCCTGTAGCTCGCCAGCGAATGCAGGAGTTGAGGAGAGTAGGTTGACGTCTTTGAGGGTACCGAGAGCCGCGGCCTTATTAGAAGCGGTGGAATCAGCCTTATTGGACAGTTCCAAAAGGGAAGTGGCCCGTAAGATGTCTCTGGTGCTGAGGTGGATATTCGATTTTCGTAGGCGTGAGACAAGCTTTATAGCCAGAAGTGAATTTCCCCCAAGATCGCAGAAGGTTCTGCCAAAGTCGATACACGACGGGTCCAGGGAGAGTACATGAGATACTTCGACGCCGAAAAGATTGTGTACAGACCCAGATGCGTCATGTTTATTGATGTGGTCGCTTGATGTTGATTTTAGTGCGACATCACTGTACCTGGTCTTGAATATTTCCATCAAAGCACTTCGATCAACCTTTCCATTGGACGTAGTGGGCAGACTTTGTATAGAGATAAACTCGCTTGGCACCATGTAAGATGGAATGTGGTTCAACAAATGCTCTCGCAGCTCAGAGCACCAAACTTTCCATGTGCCAGATTCTGTTATTGCACCGACCGAAGAACTCAAGACAACAAATGAAACGAGCTGCTCGGCCGTGTCTTTGTGAATTCTTATCAAGTCCACGCGGACGTTCTGGATCCCATTACCCAGGTGTTTTTTAATATGGCTTTCGATATCCCCCAGCTCTAGTCGTTGACCACGGACTTTCACTTGTCTGTCTCGGCGACCGAGGCAGTCTATGGTGCCATCTAAACTCAGCCGTGCGAGATCTCCCGTCTTGTAGAATCTTCTTGCACGACCTGAAGCTGCTTTAGAAGTTGCCCACGCAAGCTCCGTCACGAAAACGGCTGCCGTTGCCTTGGGGGAGTTCAGGTACCCACGTGCGACCGTTTCTCCTTCAATAATAAGCTCACCCACCTCACCGATATTAGCCAGCGTATTATGATCAGTCAATCTCACTATCCAAGTACGGCAGCCCACAGCGTGACCAATACAGGATCGCCGTGTTCTTGGCCCTGTAATGGCGATGCTGCAAAAGATAGAAGCCTCTGTAGGCCCGTAGCTGTTGAACAAACGAACTCTAGAGGCCCAGGCGTCAATGCATTCTTGGGTTAAAGCTTCACCGCCGACTGCAATTGTTTTCAGTGTCGGAACCTCATCTGGCTCCAGTAAGGATATGGTAGATGGTGTAAAGAATGCCCAGTTAACCTAGGTTTGGTTAGTCAAACAGCCTGTTCCTTCTGTATTCAGCGATCTATGAAAGAAGAAGCCAAGTGGAAACAGGATTAGAGCGTACTTACAGCTAATTGGTTAACTGTCGCAGAGAGTCTACTCAGATTTTCAGGAACACATATGCAACCCCCATGTATAAGAGTTGCAAAAATCTCAGTCAGACAGGGGTCAAAAGTGAAGGAAGTTGCCTGAAGAACGCGTGACGTTGAAGATATATTCAATCGTTCACCATGGGCGACAAGACTTGTGCACATCGATCCGTGTTCAATCATCACTCCCTTCGGTCGACCAGTCGACCCACTAGTGAAGTACACATAGGCTAGATCCATTCTTTCAATGACTGGCAGTTTACCATTGAATTCTTGGCCAAGTGAGTGGAAAAACTGTGAGTCAATCTTCCAGGATTCAATCTGTTCGTCTTCTCCAGGACAATTTTCAGAAACAAGAATCAAAGTTGATCCTGTGTCCTTAGCTATCTGTTGAACTCGGGATGCTGGGTGAGAAGGGTCGATGGGTGTGAATGCTAGACCAGCACGGAGAATGCCCAAGAAGGAGACTATGGCCCAGGGCGATTTGGTGAAACGACACAAAACGATATTTTCCTTCTGGAGACCTCTGAGAAAGAGCCGCTCTGCCAATTGTGACGAGTAATCATCAAGCTCAGCGTAAGTCATGCTTCCACCAATACAACATATTGCATCCTGGTTTTGCTTCTGGGCTACTTGACTCAGGAACCGACTGACAACAGTTCCATCCGTAGTCAAAACATTTTTCACACCACCGCTGATGACAGGAGAAAACCTGTCTTTTCCGTCGCGCAATGTATCCAAGTTCGCGTCTATAACATAGTCGTCAATGCTCTTGATTGATTCCATGCGGCAAGACCGCAGCATCATGGTTTCCATCTGTTGATTGCGGCCGCTCAGTAATCGCATCGTAGTCGGATCATACTGCTATTGCTTGAGTTATGGAGAGCCTCAATTAGGACAGGTTTACACTCACAGTTCTATTGGTGAGAAAAAAGAGCGAAGAACATCAAGTAAAACTCAAACGATACCAACTGTTCGCCACTGTATTGGCTGGACAGACAGTTAGAAGACTATTGATAATACGGGAAATAGTCGCTCGAAACTTGGGATTATATTCGCTTTACTGTATGCAGTTCCAAGGCCAGATCCTGATTTGATATCATGTCTAAAATTCATGATAATCTCATGAAGCTGATGCAGTAGTTGGTTGAAGTTTGAAATCACAGGTATTTACTAAGCCGCATCGGGTTTTGGTTCCATGTGTGTTCACCGTCATACACCACTAGTCACTATGAGTTTTCTTTGGACATCATATCTGCATTGTCCACCTAGAGTTCTTACTGCTTACTTCAGATGACCATATATATGTAATTGGTCCTCCTTGTAAATTCTCTAATGAAGATCATTTCCTCTCTCAGTGGGCCCTTGGGAGATAGTCCCCAATAGCCAATATGCTTGATCTTCATATGCTTCCCCGTAAAATGCAGTCGTAGTCACCGGTCATCCCATACAATTACTGCACAGTCCAGTGGGGACTCTAGCGGGGTTTCACGAAACAACGCTTCAAGCTCTTTCTCTCGTAGGCCATATTGGGATGATCAATGACGACGTGAAGGGGGTTGGAAAGTGTTGGGGGTAGCATAAATCAAGCCACCACTAACGGTGGCAGGCTCCATGCAATCGAGGTGCCAGGGTATTCCTCAATCCTAGTTCGGTATGCAAAGTCAATAAGCGATGCGCCCCCGCCCCCGCCTCCCCAAACAACATGACGCCAAGTGAGGCCTGTTTAATCCATTTTCATGCCTAATGATGCATCTTGTCAACGTAACTCGAACTACACACGTTGTATTTCATAAGAAATAACAATCAGATGTGCGCCATGAGAGTCGCCCACCAGCTCAAAAAGAGCTACCTCTGAGGTGGTTTTTCTAGTTCCGAAACTGTCACTACAAGAAGCACGATAAGATGACAAAGAAAGGGGTTTTAATTGTTATACATTTTCAATACTCTTTCAATTTGTGAAGTAATCACTACTACTGGTTTATGAAGAGAAAATTCCAAATTTATAACTCAGAGCTGAGAAGCACTAAGTATATCAATACACCCAGCGAACACCCTTTATTTCCAAGTAAAAGAAACATAGTGCTGTTTGTTCTACTATGAGTAATAAAACACTTTTAAACATGCCATTTCAAATTTTTAAATTACACTTTAAAACGTGATTTACTATCACCGCAGAAAAAATGCACGCCTTGTTTAAGTGTTTAAAATTGAATATCATTTTCAAATATTGCAGTGACCTACAACTGGGCCTGATCAAACGCTTGTTCAAAGTCCCAAATGATGTCCTGCAAATCTTCAAGCCCTAGAGATAATCGAATTAGATCTTCTGTGACACCCATTTCCTCATTTTCTTCCTTGGAATAGTGCTTATTGACTCCCGACCAGTGATGGTTACATAGAGTCTTGGAATCCCCTACGTTGGTTGTCGTAATGATTAACTTGAAGGCGTCAATTATCTTCTCGGCCATTTCCCCGCCACCTATAAGCCCAAGAGTAATGACTGTGCCAAAGCCCCTTTGGAGATACTTCAATGCCAAGTGGTGGTAAGGGTGATCCTCGAAACCGAGATATCCAACCCAGGCTACCCGAGGATGGGCACGAAGCCAATGAGCTATGCTCCTCGTGGTTTTTTCTTGACGTTCACAACGTACAGAGAGCGTTTCAAGACCTATGTCATTCTCAAATCAGTATCTCAGACTATCTTGCCATATGGAAGTTCTTCTTGGATAAGACGATAAGACCCATCAGAAGGCAACTTACCAATAAAAAGTTGTTGAGAGGCATAGGGACTAAGACAAGACCCTGTGTCGCGCAGGACATCATTCTTGAGATACCTGATAAACGCCTTATCCCCGGCGGTTTTGTACCAGTTGTCCTGGCTGACGTCAAACTTCTTCAAGTCAGGATCCTCTCCGTGAAGCCGTGGGAACCGTGTCCGATTAGATTGCCAATCTGAGCGACCAGTTTCCACAATGGCGCCGGCGATGGTGGTCCCATGCCCTGCGATCCACTTGGAAGCTGAATGAACAATAATGTCAGCACCATACTGCGCCGGTTGGCAGAAGTATCCACATGCGGTGAAAGTTGCGTCAACCACGAGAGGGATCTTCAGATTTGGCGAGTGTGCAATTGCTATCAGGCCATCGTAATCTGGAACTGAGAGCTTGGGATTTGCCAACGACTCAACAAAAATGAACCTGGTCCTATCATTGATCACCTGTCTAACGCGTTCGAGGTCGTTGGTGTCACAAAATCTGGCTTCAATGCCCCTGCCAATCCCCTTCGTTAGCACAGACGCCGAAGTGAAATAAGTTAAACTGAGGTAAAGTCTTCTACATTAATTGAGCTTGATAGGTGGATATTATTGATTGTGATGTATACTTCGGAGCAAGCAATGGCAATCCAAAACCAGTTCTTAACTTACAATTGAGCACCTGCTTTACGAAATTGTTTGAATGTTCCGCCATGTAGCCCGGTGGACACGATGACATTGTCGCCCATTCCCGCTAAAGAAACGAGGATGGCATATACTGCAGCTGTGCCCGATGAATACACAAGCCCGTCGGCGCCGTCCTCAAGAGCGGTGATACGTCTCTCAGCACCGTCATTAGTGGGCTGACATAGAAATTAGTATAACTTCGCTGAATCCGCAAGGAGGGGGAGGGAGCGGGGAGTTGTTCTTTCATATACTCACATTTGACAATCGCGAGTACAGATGTTTGTTCTCAGGGGCTGACATATCCTCCAAAGCGTTATTCATGTCGCTGAGTTTCTCGAATTTGAACGACGCCGTATTATAGATGGGTAGAGTGATATGTCCATGTACGGGGTTCTCCTCCAGACCTGCATGGATTTGAAGGGTGTCGAACCGCCATTGATGTCGGCGCTCCTCAATCTTCCCTCCACCGTTTTGTACTGGCTCGTTTTCGAGCTCTTTAGTTTTCCCCAATGAGCCCATGATGGTTGAGGAGTAGTTAAATAATGGGGATTTGAATTGACCTGCGGCTTAATATGTAAGGGGAGAAAATGAGTGCATCAGTCTTTACTTTTTAAATACTTATAGATAACCCGAATATGACCTACTGCTACGCTCGGGAACAGAATCTTTCGAATCGTCCAGTTACGCTAGATACATGTGCGACATTTGGTTACCTATGTTGGGGACACATTGATGCTGGCCGCGGCCCCTGTTGTCTGCAGATTCGGAATTGGCGATCCTACGACATTTTTGTGACCACGCATAACTAGCCCTTCTAGGCTGCAGTGGTAGAAGAATTACATAACCTTGGATATCAAAATCTGAAGCAGTTGACGCCAATGCAAGATGGAATCACATTAGAACGGCTGAAAAGAAAGAACGGAAGTGTTCCAAAGAAAGAGCATTCTGTTATGATATGCAACAAGTTCAATTGATAATCTACAATTCGTGACTTCTTCTAAATCAGCTTTTTGTTGGAAACAATTCCCCTTCCAGCAAGTATGTCGTTCAGTTGAGTTTCAAGTCTGTCCCTTGAGATCTTAAAGATAGATGGGAGTCCGGTCTTATTGTATGGAGTCCCTTGATCAATTAGAGCAGCGACCCCTTTCGCAGCCAGGAAAATGACGGGCATTCCATGCCCGTGGAATCCTGCAATTACAAATACGCCTTGCCTATCAGGAACCTCACCCACATGTGGCAGCGAGTCAGTACTGTAGCCCATTATTCCTGTCCAAACTCGGTCTACGTGTGCCTGGGAATCTTCCCAACCAATGAAGGATCGCTGCATAAATTTATCTTCAAAGTATGATTGTGCCGGGGTAATGAGCTGCGTGTCATCAAAATTATGGTACCAACTACCAAGATCATTCGTATCATATTTATGATGAGCCCCGCCGACGACGATGCTGTTGTCGGCAAGTTGCAGCATGTAATTGTAGCCGGTTGCATTTGAAATTGGATCCTGCTCCATTATGGCAAAACTCGAGGCGGGGAGTTTGGATAATACTCTGTCTTCCGGGCCAGTAATGTGACATACCAAGCCCTTGCAAGGAACTATGGCAGTGGTGTACTCAGGTAGCAGTGCTGATGTGTATGCATTTGCCGCAATGACAACTTTTTTAGCTGACAGTGTATCTCCTAGGAGTGTCGTAAGGATATGGTCGTCTCCCTTGGATTTCTCAACTGACTCAACGGTAGTACTGGTCCGAAGGCAGAGGCCTAGATCCATGCAGCACGCTAACAGAGCCGTGAAGAGTTTGTAGGGTGAAAAATGTGCTGCTGGCGTAGAAAAGTAGCCTTTGGCTTCTATAACACCTGTTCGATGAGGTGCGTCCACTCCAGTGTAGAAATCTACCCGATTCAAAAGAGCCTCGTCGAAAGATGGTTCCTGCTGTAATTTGTCGTATACCTCGCGAGCAAAGACAGCCTGTTCCGGCTTTGTGAAGACGCAGAGACTGACCGTCTCATTGAAATCACAGTCGATGTCCTCGGACTCGATCAAGGACTTGATGGCGCTAAGATGATTGACTTCGAATTGCACAACTTCAGAAGCCGCGGCTGCGCCGTATCTCTCAGAACTCTTTGCAGCCGCCATGAAGTAATCGGGACGTAGATGCCCTCCGTTACGCCCAGTGGCCCCTAAACATGGCTCTCTTCCCTCTAGGAGCACTACGCGGGGTGGCGGTGAGGTGGACTTCAGCAAATGGTATGCTGTCGCGATGCCAGCATAACCACCACCAACGATTGCCACATCACAGATGTCCGGAAAATCGATGTTATTCTGCTTAAGCTTCTCTGGTAGGCCATTATGTTGTCCTTCATACTGCCAATAGGACTGGGTGGAGCCATCTACTGGGAAAGGTCTTGTGTCCTTCATCCCAAGTAGCTATAGCACAACCTAACTTGCACAAATCTTTTCAGAACACGGCAAATTCAGTCGCAGAAACCTAAATCGTGCTCAGCTCATGTCGATTTTGAATGATACAAACGTCTCACCAAACTTCTCATGGCCGCATCCCATGATTTCGTACGCTTCCCCAAGAGTTTGCAGGGTAAGACGAGACAGTCATTATTTGGTTGCAATGGAATGTCAGCGAACGTCCGGCGTCATACGTGACTAGCGTACTTGCTCACTACCTAATGACTTTGCATAAGATACGAAAGCAGGAGTGGGGTGCCCAGAACCGAAGGGAACAATGTACTCCGAGTGCAAGCCGCAGTAGATCCACAGCAGTAACAAATGCAACGTCAGCAATGCAAAGTCAACAATCCCAATTTGCTGTTTCCTGGCGTCTAAGTGAGCCTAGACAGTACCTTAGTACTACATCGATCGCCATGCTTGGCCTTTGACGGTTTGCATGGCAGGACAAGGAACTGGTTGAATGTTTCAAGTGAAGTGCTGCCAAATCTAGCGCTTGAGCAGTGAATATAGGGACGTGCCAATAAATTGGTTCCATGACCGGTAAAAGTCTAGAGGGTTACTACTGATCATTGAGTCCCATCCGTCACAAATCAGTAAACACTTTCTGACCTCTTCCGTTTCCTAAAGAGAGCAGAGATTGCATAATATGTCGACTATCACCATCTCCCAAACTACCGCTTCTAAGTCGGATTTGAAAGTTGTTTCCTACTCAAAAATCGTACGAGGAGATGCAGATGAACTGGACACACTTCGCAAGGCATGCGAGGAGTATGGATTTTGGTATCTTGATCTGAACAGTCAGAATGGAGACCCGATTTCCGTCGTTCAGAATGTGCCATCTGTGTTCAAGATCGTAGAAGAGTTCTTCGACTTAGAGGATGCGGAAAAGACCAGATATGACGTGGATGAGATTGGGCCTTGGAAGCTCAATGGGTACGTCTCTCCGTGGAAACGGCGATTCTCGCAGCAATTTCACTTTCCTTCCTCTGACATTTGGAGTTTAGATATACTCCATTCGGGAGAAATAAAGGACTCGTCGGTGATGGAAAGAAGTACGGCGTAGAAGGCTACACCGTAAGCAACCCATGTATCCGTACGGTAGGCGCTGAACGAGTGTGATGTTGTGTTTAGTTTCCCAGAGACGGTCTCTGCAACACTGACGTCGAGGGGCAAAATTTTGCGCTACCTCAAGTACTGAAGAGACACTCGCAAGTTTTGTCTAGCTTCATGAATCAACTCCACGACATCGGGTTGCACGTGCTACGTGCCCTGGACCGGACCATGGCCAACTCAGAAGCTGCAGAGGACTTCTTAGCACTTAATCATCGCCCTTCGTTAGCTTCCACCACGTGTTTGACGGCACAACGTTACCCTCTTTTGTCAGAAGAGAGTACCAATGCTGGTCTGGCTTCGCATACCGACGTAGGTAGCCTGACAATTTTGTTCTGCGGGGAGCGCGGACTTCAGGTTCTCAGCCCAGATACGAAGGAATGGCAATATGTGGAACCAAAAGAAGGCTGTGCTGTTATTAACGTGGGGGATTCTCTTCGATTCCTGTCCAATAAGTCTTTTCGATCTGCTTTGCATCGCGTCGTTCCATATCCGGGAGCTACGATCAAGAACCGTTTCTCCTGTGCCTATTTTATTCGCCCCAATCTTGATGCCGAGTTCATTGATGACGATGGGAGTAGTTGGAAGAGTATAGATTGGCACGTAAGGAAATACAAGGCTTATCGCTCAGCGACTACAACAGCATAAATACATAGAAGCCAATTTAACATAATGGTAAAAATTACTTCGAATAAAGTTGTCTTGTACCTTTCATCTCGTCTGAGCTCTCATTCAGCTCTCTGTATCTACAAATACGTAGTCAAAGACCTATCTACAACACAGGAGGCTTCTTACAACCCAATGATTGTCGAAATGAATTCACTCCAAGTTAACTCCTCTCAAGCCAAAAGGCTATGCAACAAGTCATTTTTTGCACTATTCACTAAGCTTGCGAGAATTGAGTGAGATGACCGTTATGCGATTACTGTTACTAGGCGCGAAAAGCACAGTTGTAACTTATATTATACTTGTAAAAGTCTCAAAGCTTACCCGACAACAAATACAGTGGCGATATTCTCGATTGAAATGGGAAGGCAACAGATTTTAATTCAAGTTTTAAAGAGCACCAACCATCTAAATGCACTAACAGGAGATCCATATCCGTGCTAATTTCAAAGCACTCTGGAAATGATGAAGCTTGCGTTAGCGTTCCTCCCAGGCTCACCATTCAGATGTGTAGTGAGGACTGGCCTCAGCTTCTCCATTATCCGCACTGATTGAAGTTTGGCTGGCTGTTTCGGGTGTCAGAAATTCATCATTGCTTGAGTTAGAAAGTCGACGCCATAGTTACTCACCGGATAGGCCATTGTCTTGATGGAGTGGGTACTTCGTGTCAGCACAAATGATCCTGGCCTCATACGGCTGACAACGCTCAATAGAATGCCTTCTTTTTCCTCGGTCGTTGCCCCAACGGTAGCATTGAAGTATACGACATCATGCTGTCGAAGATCCTTCGGGGCGTCCTTGATGTCACCCGTTTCGAACGTGCAATCTTCCGTGCCGCAGAGAGTTTCCAAGACCTGCTTGCTCTTTTCTGTGCGCTCGTGTACGAGTTCTAAACTATGGATTCGAAGTCTCTTACCATGCTTTTTGGCCCAGTCGGATAGCCAAATTGTCGTCTCCGGCATAGCTCCAGATCCCAACATCGCTACAGACTCAGGTGTTTGACCGGCGACCGACATAATTGCAGCCCATTCGGTCTTTAGAAGATACTCGTAAAATTCATGGATTGGAGTTGTCATGAATATCTTTCGGGCTAAATTCAAGGTGTTAACGAAGTGAATCTTTTAGCGCCCAGCAAAGCATACCTTCAATTGGATCTCTTGCAGCCACAACCCGGTCAGCCCAAGTCGTCTCAAAGGCACCCTCGCATGCTCCCATGACAAGTCTAAGATCAGGCAGAAGCTTGCAAATGTCTGGATGCTCGAGAAGTGCATTTTCGAGATCAATATCCAGCGTCGTAAAGGCTATGATGTTGTAGTACCCAACCCAGAAAGGAACCACTTGGTCAGCTTTCTCCGGTGTATCTATAGGAAGCAATGCCTTTACACCCTTGACATTTTCAACCATTTTTCGAACGTAGACCTGTACCTCGCTCTTCAGATCCCTGCCTTGGGAGCCGTGTAATGGTAGTTCTGCGTGGGGGGCCATGGTGGAACACAACGCCGAGTTCCAGTGAGTAGGGTGAAAATGGAACAATTCAAAATGTGTTCAGAGTTAATTGACGATAATCTAACTGCTATCAAGGTCACTAGTAACAAATCCTTTAGAAAACGGGCTTTGTTCGCTTTAGGGTTGTATTTAAACCCGATAACAAAGGCACGACGTTTCAATTGTTCGCGGATGCACCTACTCAAGCGCCTTCATGCATGGTCAGAGAATCCCCGCAAAATGTGGCCGACTATCTATGCATCTTACACCCCGGGGCATGACATGTCTATACGGGCAGAATCACGCTAATAGACTCAAGATGACCGAACTGTACAGTACGTAGGAGGCGCCGGCAGATCGTTCTGCTGGTTGGGAACCGCAAATGAATGCCCCTTGAACCACGATGCTGGATTTACTTAAAATTCTCTAATACGGAGTAAATGCGATATCTATGGCCAATCGAATAGAGACCGTTCAAAGACATGTTTATTTGAGCAGGGTAACGAAAAATACAGTCAGAGACATATCTTTTTTTGAAAAAGTGCTATATAGTTTATTACCTCGTGAGGCTTCCTTCGGGGTACTAAGTTTTATGAAGACAAGAGACAGACGCCTCAATACTCGCACTAGGTGTGCTAAAATTACTTGCAAATAGAAACAAGTCCTGCCCAGCACTCGAGATTTTGAAACATGGGTTCCATAGCAACAAAAAACGAGGAGCGTTTCCACCCAGCAACGCACAATGGCAATGGACTTCAGAGTCATCACAACCACAATAGCGTGGGCGACCTCCGTGCTTCTGAAGCGACTCTTCAGACAGAACAACCATGGCATTTCGATACTCTTCAGGTCCACTCCGGGCTTGAGGACGAGACTGCTCACGGACAAAACTCACTTCCTATCTATAACTCAGCATCTTTCCGATTCAGGACCTCCAAGAGTATTGAGGAGGCATACAGCTTTGAGGATGGGCCCAAGAGCCAGTATTACATGTACAGCCGACTTTCTAACGTGAGTTAATCTCAAGTTGTTAAATAGCATGTTACTAATATTGCGGCTGAAGCCCAGCAACACCGGATTCGAGAGACGAATGGTCGCCCTGGAGCTTGGCAAAGAGGGACTTTCGTTCGCTAGCGGCGCCGCTGCCATCTGTGAGTATAATTCCCCTTTGTCCAACAATGTGTGTGGCGCAGACCGTCAACGATTTTCTTCAAGACATATTCAAAGCTGCTCATTCTAGTCAGTTTCCCCTGAGTAAAGGACAAATACTAATTGGACATTCATCAAGTGACCGTGGCACAGTCTCTGTCGACTGTCGGTGACAATGCTGTGGTTTCCTGTTCGGTTCACGGCGGCACGTATCACCAGTTCCAGGTCATTCTCCCCGCCATGGGACTAGAATGCCGAATAATCGATACCAATGATCTCGAAAATGTCAAGTCATTGATTGATGAT